ACTGCAAGCAGTACGAATCCGAAGACGACGAACGGCTAGGTTGGCTTGAAACATCATTTCTTGACTACCTGGCCGAAATCAAGCGGCAGAGCCCGGCTAAGAATTTTCTGACCAAGGAAACGTACGAGGGCTTGCTGATAACAACCATCTCAAACGTGGAGTGCGTTCGGTACCTTCTCACGGCCACACGCTTCCGTTTCGTTCTGACTAGGAAGATGTCCTCTGACCCAATAGAGGCCTTCTTTGGGTGGTTGAGGAAATCTGCAGGCTCGAACGACCAGACAGACGTGAGGGCAGTTTTGTCTGGGATTGAGAAAGCACTGAAGACTGGCATAGCCTGCACGTCCAGCAGCAGCAACGTGATTACTGCAGACAGCAGCAGCTGCTCCACATCAGCACTCCTACAGCGATCGGCAAGAGCAGCGCAGAATGACGGTGAAGCATTTCCAGCAGAATCAACCACGATCCTCGAGGAGAGCCTCGACAGGGGGAAGACGTTGCTCCCAACGCCAGATGTTGCTGCACTAGCAATGGTTGGTGGCTATATTGCAAGAACAGTCCACGAAACCATTTCCTGTGATGAATGCTTCACTTTGGTGACTAAACCAAACACCTCTGCGCCATCGGATGCATTAATTAGGCACCAGGACAGAGGTGGACTCCTGTATCCATCAACTGAGCTCGTAATGGTTCCAAATTCTCTAAAGAATTACGCGGAAGTTTTCCTCGCAAGAGCGAGAAAGATGAATCAGCCACTGAAGGCTGCCGTTGACAACGCCGCGCAAATACTACAGAAACGTGACAAACTCAAGTGCTCGACCCCGGGACATCATAAAAACTTTGGAGGTTGTGCTCGTGAAGTTTCTCCGCCCACTTTTTCTGAACTTCGCGACGAGTGTGACTGACAAACACGACTTGGCAAAAGATTTTCATGTCAAACCATTGTCTCGAAAAGTGCTCAAGCTTTGAGCGCGAAATCAAATAAAAAAGCTCACATTGCATTCTGCATACAGTGCTTGTGTTAAAAATTTGGTGTGTGCGCACTTCTTAACGTATACGCAAAATCCAATGCAATGTAGACGGTTTCTAGACCGTCATAAACGCAAGCGTGCATAGGCCGCGTCGTCTGCTGTTATTATGGGATCGGTGCGGCATCTGGCGGCGAGCGCCAAAACTATAAGGGACGGATGGCGCGTATGTATTTAGCGCTAATGCGCGGGCACAAAAAAATATAGGAGGCTATGCCTATACTCACTTGTTAAGGCGCAGTGCACGTAACTGAATGTTGACACCAACGGGAGTTTAACCTACTCTGTGCCTACTTCGCGTCCGTATTTCGTGGAAGAGGTGATCGAGCTTGCTGTTGGCGTGACCGAGCTTGTTGCGGTCTTGCAGAGCAAAACGAACCCACCAACGCCGCTGGCGTCGGTAGTTTTTCTGCTCTTCGTGCATTACAAGACAGCCACTTACCAGCAAAGCGAGCAGTACTGCCTTTTCTTGTTTCTTGCGTACGAGAATCGTCGAAGTATAAACCACCGGATAGCGTAGTAGCGTTTGCGAGCCACGACAACAACCGGGTGACAGCGCATCCATCCCGCGTTCGCCCCGTAGTAGATGGCATATTCGGCGGCGTGGGGCGCGTCCAGCGCGAACGATGCTGCGTTTCGGCGGCAGGGGAATTTCGGTCGCTGTAGAAAGCGGATGTTTCAGTGTTCACATCTAAACACAAGCAGTCCGCACGGAATAAATCCCCTGTGATACTTGTCCCACGTGGGCGTAGTTCTGGCAGACTAAATAGTTCCGGCCTCTCTTAAAACATTGTCGCCAGGCGGAATCGGCCATAAGATTTCTTATGAAAATTGTAGGAAACTTTATAATATTGGCACGGCGTATTTCATCTTTCAGCGTTCCTCAGTGTCTGAAACGACTCAACGTTAGGCGAATACTGCGACTAGAGAAACCCGATCACCAGAAAAATTGGGGACACTTTTTAATTCCAAAATGTGTTCGGCGAAAGCCTGTGGCCATTTGACTCACTATGCTATGTCTCTCTCTCTCTCTCTTTTTTTTACACCCCAGTGCCATGGCACACCTTAGCCGCGGCCTCATTTATCCCCCCGCACCAGAAAGAGACGCCACAGCTGGCACCTTGCCAGGGAAGCGGACGATTCGGCGTTAGATATCCGCTTGGTTGAATTTCTACTCACATGTGCGATCTTCCATCTTGGTTTTCGAGTGGGTATCTTACTCTACCACCTCAAAATATTTCAACACAGCCATTATAAAAAGTCTCCTACTTTAACGTTTGTTTTAACGCAAGAGCGTTAAAGAGCTCGTTTTGCAGAAATTCCAGCATCGGTGGTTGCGAGTGAAAAATCATCATCTTGACTATTACCGAAAAATCGAGAAAGATGCGAATAAAATATACAGTAAGGTTTCTCGGTTAGACGTGAAAATTGAAACTAGGCCGTCTGTATGGCAAGCAAGTGTTCTACCACAGAGCCACATCATTGCTTGAAAGTGCCTTGGAAAAAACCACACTATATGAATGTCGTGTTGTGGAAGGAGTCTCCTCAACACGTATATTTTGCGTGTCAGATTCCTAGAATTGCACCATGTGCCAAAACAAGTGAATTGTGCAACGAGTAGTGGGTACTGCGGCAATTAGGGACATGCACCGATCACAACTCTCGTATACCAACGATGCCAGTATACTAATCACTTGGCTATCCAAGTTCTTTCTTTTTTTTTTTCTTTCATTATTGCTTTACACATAATAATTGATTGCACTCTGGAAACCCCACTCCGGTACATCCGTCTGCATGCACTTTGTGCATTTCGACAAAACGAGACAGAGATTTGCAAAAGTTATCGGGCACAGGTCTCACTTCCAGATCTGCGTTGTGAAAGGCTTTGCAATATACTATGCAGGCCCAGAAGCATTTAAGGTCGTAAGGTACGCCACCTTCATTTTCAACGGAGCTGAAGTCGGATTGCGTGTGGATTGGATGGTAACTCCCGTTTTATAGTTTGTTCTCTGTCATATATCCCAGAAGGCAATAAAAACGTGATAAATTATGGCTGTTTTTTTTTCATAGAAAACAATATGGGCTGCATTGAACAAATAATCCTTTGACTCTCAACCATGTATTAACTGGTAAAGTGCCAGGCACAATCTAAGAAAAAAAATAATGCCCCCCCCCCCCCATACAATGCTGCTCAGCTCCGTACTAAAAGACCAAACCTGGGCTATCCAGCAGGCCAGGGAGGCTATTGGGAGACAAGGCCTTCCATCCCCCATCTGAGTAGTCTGGCCCAGACCAGCAACTAGTTGGCTTTAACAATAAAGTTGTTGCATTTCCCAAATGGAATCGTGGGGAAGTTCAAAATCATTGCGTAGCGTCCATAACAACGTTTCGCACGTGAGAATCCAGCGTTAGAGGAATCATGTTTCCTTTTTTTTTTCTTACACCCTGCAACCAATAGCGCTGTTCGCCGCACGTGGCGTTTTCCTGTCACGAAAAACGCAGCATGCGTTTCCAGCTCTAATAGCTAGCGTGCATGGTTAAAAAATACTATCAAGTGAACAAAACAAACAGCGTTATCGGTTCGGCAATGGCGTTTTGGGTATTCTTCAGAGGCGCCCAGGAAGCGAACGGTCGAAAGTGAGGCGCGAGCGGACGGGCAAGTGGGAAGCAGGGAGGAGAGAGAGTGAACGGCGAGAGAAATAGCGGCGAAGCACTGCGCCTATCCTCTCTCGCACCACATGCTCCGATTGCTAAGGGCTAAGCGCGCATCCGCAGCTGTTGCTATGGGAGAGGGCGGTGGACAGATCCTGACTGACGCCTGACATAGCCCGACCAAGAAATGCGTTTGCATTTAAAATGTTTAAGCCCTGGTGTTATAAGCATTCCTTTCATGCATTTAAGAACACCTTGGCCTGGGCTACCCTGCACAGTTACCATGCTATCTAGAGAGAGAGAGAGAAAAGACTTTATTCGCAGGATCCTGCATGCAGGTAGTTTCCGGCCGCGCAGGGCTTGGACTTCTAGTGCTTAAGTCAAATAGAGTCTTAAGAACACTGGGCCTAGATCTTGAGGGTTACGTCTGGCCTAGCATGAGATACTTGGGTCCCTTTGGCCCGGTTTGACGGGCCGTTGTTTCTCATTCTCTTCTGCCTGGCCAGCGCCTCCTCAACCTGCTGGATTGCCCATTTTTGTGATTGGCAGTTTACAGAGTGAATCCATCGCTCTATCTGTCCAGGCTTGCTGGCAGAGCAGAGCATGGCCTTGTACAGTACCGCACAGCCAGCTGGTGGGAAAGGAAAGTGGAGGTGAGAAGAACGGATGCAAGGGGTAGGAGGAGGAAAAGGAGGATGGGAAAACAACAGTGAAATTGAAAATGATGAAAAAGATGGAAGGTGCGATACCGAAGTATAGTTTGCTGTGTGGCACAGAAAAACAATCATCTTCATGAGCCAGCACGGGCTCTCTTAGTTAGCTTCATCTTTGTCCTCTTCTGCTGCTTGCCCATCAACTCTGCTATGACCCAGCCTTTTGAGGATTTGTGCGAGCTCTACTCTTTTTTTTTTTAGTGTTTCTAGCCTACCTCGTTATGCAAGTGAACAGCAATGCACTTCTTTTAGTATGCCACTGTGATGGTCAGATAGATGGACCAATATGTGCTCCAAAAAGCACTGTGTAGTCCCCAGTAAATGGTTGCCTTTTTCTCTTCTGGACCATTTTTATTTTTTCTTTTTGCCTTTGTGTGTGATAGCTTTAGTGGAATGAAAACATGCATATTTATTTGGCAGGACAATCCGAGGTTGGTGAAACAGAAAAAAAAAACAAGGTTCACTTTAAACAAACAGAAAGAAAGACACTACAGATATCAGATATCAATGATTGATGCTGCAGTTTTCATGTATGACAATTACAATGAAGAATACTCAAGCAGCTTGAGTGAGTCACTCAAAGCAACTGAAAGAAAGTGACACAGTGTAGACACTAGCAAGACTAGCAGTTTTATAGTGTAGCACCATTATGAGGAGAAGCTATTTTCTTGAAGAAGGCAATGTATTCCACCTTGCATTCGCTACCTGTCGGTAGGAAGTGGCCACCCGGGTGGTAGAGGACACTTGGGGACAAGAAGAATGGAAGTATTTCTGTTGCTTGTGCTGCAATCAAAGTTGATGCACATCAAAGCTCATGAAAGTAGATAAGATAATAAGTAAATCTATGAAGGCATGTTACTAAAGCAACAGGCTGATAGCAAATTGAGGCTGCTAAACTGCACTGCACGTACAAACGGCAGTAAGATGGCTATGTACCTACCGTATTTATTCGAATATAGGTCCACCTTTCTTTTCGCAAATGTAGTTGATAACCTGCTATCGACCAATATTCGAGACCAAAAAATGTCGACTTATATTCATGATCAAACCAACCAAAAGCGCCGAGCTTATAGGAAGCCAAAGCAATGCAGGGTGGCGTTGCGACTCTGGACAGGCAGTGCCATCTTTGGTAGAAAAGTAGAAATAGGGGTTGTATAGGCACTTTTTTCCTTCTCCCCGATGCGCTGCCGCACGCTTGCGTGCTGGTGCAGAGCGCGCGCGCTGGGTTTGAGTCACCTCACGATGTACCACCTGCAGTGCTGCTTCATAAAGATTTCCGAGCTAGAAAAGCTCTTCCGAAGATCGAATTGAACAAAAGGAATAAAGCTCATTAGCCAAGTTTATGATGTGAAGCAGACGACAAAATACGAGGACGTCTGAGTCACTGCGAAATGCATTTCTCAGGTCCTCCATGATAATACCGTGTACAATGTACAACGTATGCCTTGAGGTAAATCTTATTCTGCGAACATGAAGCCGCGTACTCTGTCGATGTGCTGTGCTGACGTTTATGGAAACCATATAATTGTTGTTTTGATGTGGTATCTAGTAGTAGCAGTTGTGTACTGTCGTGTACAGACATTTGCGGCATGCTGAAAAAATAAAAACTAGAGTATATGGTGATGGCATTAAAATGTCCGAGAAGTTTGAAAGTCATGTCCTCCGTGCCGCGGGCACATGACCCACTGACGTCGCCGCGAAGCAGCAAGCTGAAGTTCAACCACAGCGAGTCAAACTGAAACTATCAGCTCGTTTTTTTTCTGTTTCTTTCGGATCTCCTGTTATGTTTGCTCTATGTTTCGCGAACGCGGCTGCGTTTGCCGGCTGTGACTTGCTGGGAATCGGTACAGCTTTAGACGTGAAGAGCGTCCCTTGGTGTTGTCTACATTGTTGTGGCAGCCCAAAACGCAACAATACTTCGAACCTCGCCGACAATTCTGTGGGGCCGCTTCTTCCATCGCGGAAACGCAACTTCCCACAGCAAGCGCCTCGTTTTAGTGTGCCAAGCTGACGGCATGGCGCCTAAATTCTCCGCATCGACTGCAGACAACACCCTCTTGCTGCAGAATGCGCTGCGCGCGTGTCGCATGCGCTCCCGTTTAAGGGAAAGACACTGACACGCCTGCCACCTCTCCCACGTATCTCCTCAACTATTCCGAAGTTTGCCGCCAGGGTCAGGCGCGGCACTGTCGTCGCTCTGCAAATTTGAGTTTCAGTTCCCTATGGCGTTTAACTGCCACGCCCGCTGTTCTTCAAGCAGTTCCTGCTGCATACGCACGTTGTATACCACAAAATCTGGAATAAAGGCCCCTCCCCCCCTCTTTTCTGGCTACCTAAGTAATTGAGAAAAAAAAGTTATTTCTGCAATAGCCGCGTACCGCCTATTCAAAGAACCTGCGAAATGCAGCCACTCCGCCATGTTTGTGTGCAACAGATGGCGTCATGCTTTTCACAGCCCAGCAATCGGCAGCAATGGCACCAAGGACGACGACGTTTGGGAAGCCACTGATGCTTGCGAAGAATAGGGTGACGAGAACATTTTGTACATCTGACAAGATGACAGCCTCGGCAGCGATTAGGGTGCTACACTATGTAAACAAAGGTATGATATGTTTCAACTTTTATGTTTCAAAATTAAAGAAAAAAAAACATGGGCCGACCTATATTCGATTTCTTGTTCTTGTATAACACTATTAGTAGAGATCAACCTATATTCGTGCCCGACCTATTTTCGAGTAAACACAGTACATTTCATTTTATTACCTTAAAAGCCCAACGTAGCTTTACTAAAGGGTTGGGCGTACATATGTTCATTATGCATTGGTTAGAAGTAACATGTGAATAAGCATTATTAAACATGACATGGATAATATGGGTACATGATTCCGTAATACACAGTGACGAGTATTAAGGGTCGACAGACCTAATTCTTTTCTTAGTGACAACATCTTGACAAGATAGGAATATTAAGAGTGTGTGAACTTTATCGCACAGTATCTATAAGTCTTAGTAGCTCATAAAGACACCCCGACCTTTACTAACATCATTCCTATGATTGATATATATATAATCTTTTTTTTTTATTCATACAAAAAAGCCAGTATAAAGCCAGGAGCAGCCAGTACATACATATACAGTTCAAACTAAAACTGAATCCACTGAAAAGTAAAAGATGGTATTCAAATTCACACCCAACGATGGCTATCTCTGGTAAGAAGCTAATTAGAGAGCCAAGATAATATAGATATGATCTCATAGATAAGTATATGCTGTGCATATAAAAAAGTCACAGCTTTGCTGCAAAGGTGGAGCAATGATCGCGATAGCAACAAATTGGAAGGTCATGCACAGAATGGCAAGCAGATCGAAATGTTCCCTGCGTTTCTCACGCACAAATGACACATGAAACATACTCACAGGTACAGATGAATGCGAATAAGCATCTCAGTTCTTACTTTGCTGTGTCTGAAAGGCGCGCCCTTTTCGCAAACTGAGGCTGCGCAACAATTGCAGTGACCTTTGTGTGCCCGGTAACTACAACAGAATTGTTCCGACGAAACCCACAGGCTAGCCAACACGTACGATTCTCCCCACTGCAAGATAAGGGCGTGTGATCGAGTGTACACCCCCTTATTCTCTACGAGAGCCAAAGCATGCATGAAAGATAAAAGCCGCTGCGCACTCACTGCACCATATTGCTGATAATGCTGAAAACATGATAGTGTCCCCCCCCCCCCCCCCCCCAAGATGCTTGCCAACAGCGGTAAGTGGTAGATATGAATAGCTTGCCGTATGAACGCTGAAGGAAGTACCCCTCGGTGGCTCAGTGGTTAATGCCTCGCATTCACGACGCAGAGGTCCCACGCTTGATTTTACTGGAATTTCTTTCTTTGTTGCATTTTCGTATATACAGATACGTATACACATATGATGCATGACATCAACGCCGACGCCGGCGGCAAAATCCCGCCGAGAGTGGCTATATAGTTGCTATCCCAATAATACCAGACAGCGACTAACACTGTCTTCCTCAGTTGCACAACAGTCACATTTTAATTGTGCAAGCTCGGTAAAAGCGAACAAAGAGCGCAGTCCCCCATCTTAACCTTTTTTCATGTTTGGGAGCGGTGGTATATACTTGCACCTCATGTATGATGTGTATTAAATCTGAAAGACTTTAGTCACCTGGCTTTCCGTTACAAATCCAAAAGAAAAGCAAAATGGCATTCACATGATATAAAGTGCATGGTAAAACAGCCACACCCTATGGCTTTAGATGACCACCGACACCAAATATGGGAACTCGAGATGCTTGTGTTGTTTGAGAGTCCTGCATGCGGGCACACTTCTGGTTGATTATTAGGCGTTGCCTATAAGATATATTAATTAGGTTTTAAAGCAAGGGTGTGTGTTCATCTGAGCATTCAGGTCCAGTAGACAATTTCTGTGGTTTGACATAGACAGACAGAGGGTCCCGTCGTAACGTTGCAGAGGTCAAGCAAGTATTCTTGACGTCAGCTAGGATTCACAAACGCTTCATCATTGAAGTGCCATGCGCTGATACCTGCACAGGATATACAGATGCTGCTGTCCTACAAGACGGCGGAAGGACATCATTCCTGAGTACTATGCAAAATTTTGTCAATGGTCACCAGCGTTATCTATCTACGGAAGCCATCCCTCTTGTGATGGAACATCAAGTGATCCATGATGCAGTCCAGGATTCCATCTCTAAGTGACCTACAATTAAGCATACTAACATATTCACCGATCCAGATGCCAACAAAAGTTCGCAAGGCGATGGAAATCTGCAAGGCAGTTCATAAGATGAACTGCAATACAGCCACTTATGTCAGCGCACATCGGATTCAAGGCCATGCTGTGAACCTGCACAATATTGCTGCTGACCAGCAGGTATGCTACCTTCCGAATATAGACGAATATAGACCTTCCAGTTTTACTCCTTCCACTTCAACCCCTAAACTCACTCTGTGCCTGTAAAAATGTTCTCCAGCAGAATACATGTACTCTTATCCCACAGTGTGTCTGCTCTCTCCCCCTTCACCTTACCAGGGCAGAGAAAGTTGTGCTCAGGAGGCTTTGGGGCACGGGTGGACCTTACACCGGCTGTTATATCATCGTGAAATTGGTCACATTTACTAGTTGGCAATACATGTCCGTATTGTACTACTCCAGTGATGCAAGCAGATACGTACCACCTTATATGGATAGGGACATGCCAAGGGTTGCAGTCGAAACACTCCTGTCACTTCATGCAAGCTGGCCTTCACTACAGCGACACAACCAGTTACAACAGTTGGATGCATGATAGCGCATTCCACAAGACACTACTTCATTTCGTACACAACACCACCCTAACAGTGTACATTTATTACACATAGACGCACAAGATATTGTGCCTTAACAAGTCTATGTCGCAAAAATAAAAAGACAACATTTGCGGGGAGCGCACAACAAATCGACTGGCTAACAGCGAAGATTCTTGTTGGTCACCCCTCTCAGTCTGTTGTCAGGCTACGTTCAAGTTGTTTTTGGCTGCCTACGCCAGGAATGCTGTTTTTTTTTCCAGGGGCAACACGCTCCAAGCCCCCACATCGTTCAATTCTTCACCTCTTGTGGGTTCGCCTATTTCAAAATGAGACCCTATTTGAAAACAGCCCATTCAGCATTACCAAAGTTTAAGCGCTCATAGTCTCAGGCACTGCCCTGCTGTGGGGGGCTAGTCGCTTATGGTATTTTGGCGGACGTTTTGAACTGAAGCAAAAATGTTATGAACTAACTAAGCTAACATTTATTAAACAATGCATTAGAGCACTTACGCTTCTATTTCGTAATCACCAGGCACAAAGCTACAAATTACTATAAAAAAACTTCGACCATCTCCTTGAAGGGAAACCTGATGGGGTGCGAAGCAGTATACTAGCTCACGGGTGGCGTCACAGGTTAAGTGGCGCTAATGTGGATGCCGAAGTGAGCACTGAAAGATTCATTTGAAGCTATGGCTGGTGCAGGCTTTGTAGGTGACACGTACAGACATGTTTCAACATGTACGTTAGATGCGTATAAGGTTTATTGCGCTTGAACCGACGAGTCCGCGGTGTAGTGGGTGGCAGTGCGGCAGGCGAATGGACGAGGCGGTAGCTGCAGGCATTGCGGCGAGCGCGCGGCAGGCGAGAAAGAGAGTGACGTCAGAGTGCACTGTGAGGGGAGCGTGACATACAATGCGCAGCAGCGGCGTGACCTATTTGGCACCGTGCCAACACCTGCAGCGCGTTCATATGGAGGGGCAGCGTGCTGCGTCTCCATATGAATGAGCTGCTTCACATCTAAAAATCGCAAACAAAAATTTTACAATCAGGGGTCCTTTAACCTTTGAGGCAAATGTGTAAGAGACCCTGTGAGTTATAAAAATTGGTGAAGCCACTACTGCAGATAGCCTTTGATAGCGAGTGAGCCCAGTACCTGATTCTAGATCACTGCACATTAGTTGCACTCACCTTTGGGTATAATGTTGTCAGTTTCACCTACAACATGCAGGGTGGGCAAGTCTATCACGCTTTCTTGTGCGAAGAGGTAGTCGTGTGCACTGGAGCGACTCCGAAAACCGGCCACTAGGACACCAAACTTGAAGCTGCATTCTATCCCTGCACGAATTTCAGTAAGAGTATGGCCTGTTATTGAGAGCAGAGAGGTGAATATGACAAAAGTCCTGACGGTCACTTACACCTAAGGTGTAGATAACTACATTATGCAATCTCCATAACAGTGACAGCGCACCTATAATGAATGCTTACTACTGCAAGGAGTCCTTGTCCTAACATAATATAATGATTAAAAGAAAGAGAGAGGGAAGCAAGGAAAGGCATGGATATTAACATGACATGGAAGTTATAACTAAAGATAAGCCAGGCATAACTTCCTCATTTTTTTTATTGCAACATATACTTGCCCTGAAGGCACAATATTTAGTGTGTATATGCATTGTAATTTAGAAACCAGAGCCCCGACTTCCGACACTTTGAAACATGCACAAACAGGAACAATTTGGAAATTCTCATTGAATAGGCTATGACTGGCCACGAGGGTGGCTTGTGGAAATGCTGTCTAGTATATACGCTTGGAAAAAAAAAGCAGCAAGCTCAAACAAACGCTGCATAGCCATAAAGTATATAAGTAGTGCAGGCATTTATTTGGACTGGACAGGCTTAATAGTGTAGGTGTACTACTGCAGGAAAAGCAGTGCTACTGAAGAAAGTCTTGTATTACCATGCAATTCACACAGAACTTCTATACGAAATACTAACCTCACTCAATTTTACAAGAGAAGCTATAAAGAATAATAAAGCTGCTACATATTATTTGAGTAGAGCACCATCCTATCTGATGCCATGAGACTTCTAGCTGAAATCACTGCTTCCTATCCCTGGTTCTGAGAAGCAGAGCTATGCGTAGAGAAATGCTTCTTGCTAGCTACGTGAAATGAGGCAAACTTAACCAAGTGGCTTCAATGAACCCCTTGCACAGGTATACTAGCACGACTACATCTTTCCTCTCTTGGCTAAATCTTATGCAAAAGGAATGTGGCCTGTGTGGCTCAGACTTTCATGAATCGCTGCGCTCCCTGACTCTCACCACCCTCAGTGAAATAGATGAGCAGCAGCATACTGAACCTATATCAAGCTATGGCTAAGCAGCTGTCTCGCTAACTGTTGTGTGCACCCAAGTCTAGTAATACTTCCTTGCTTTCTTTCTCTGAAGCATGTGTCTCAGTTTCGCAGCTGGTTATGCGTGGATAGTTGTGGCTGACTACTGAAGATTAGTGCGCAATCACCTTCAATTCTAGTGTCAGTGATGTATATGTGACCTTTTATAATTTCACTGTTTCATTAAATAATAATTAGGGAGAAGTTATCGCTTCTTTCAAATGTGAGCTTTGACCATAATGTCATTATAGCTTCGGCTTTGTTGCTTGCTATGCATGAAACAAAATACGAAGACAATGAATGGCTATGAGAAGCTTACTTTTGAGGCTCTGTAGAATGAGAATCATGGCTGTCATTGCAGCCCCTTGGCTAAAACCTAAGATTCCGTCAAAGGGACCCTGCAGACAGAAAGAGGTTTTTTATAGTGGGCATCTGTGCAGACCAATTGAGTCACCATGTCCTTTAAAAGGATGCTACGCTGAACACACTGCTTTAACAAAAGTTGCATTGCAAAGTCGAAACTCACAGAAAAAACCTCATGATCAAATTAAATAAGAAATGTTTTGATCCCACCACTTTCACTGGTGCTGAAGCTATCATCAGGTCCCACAATAAGCAAATGGGTGATAAAAACAATGTAGAAAATTTCGCGTGCAGAGCTGCAGTATTATTTAGGCTTTTGTGAGAGAAAACACATTTTGGATAATATTGTATGTACTATCGGCGTAAAATGAAACCGGAACAGCGGAGCGCGTGTTTCAAGCATTAGAAACAGTATAGTGTTGGCTGTCCAGTCATCACCATTGACAGGCATGCATATCCGGTTTGGCAGCACTGCACGATCCACCTAGAGTGTGTTTTCTCAATTTCTGCTCTAGTTCTCGTACAGTGACAATGGAGGAAATCGTGGGCGTGCCAAGCGCTCTCTCTCTCTCTCTCTTTCACACACACACACACACACACACACACACACACAGAGCCCCGCCGCGGTGGCCTAGTGGCTAAGGTACTCGGCTGCTGACCCGCAGGTCGCGGGTTCAAATCCCGGCTGCGGCGGCTCCATTTCCGATGGAGGCGGAAATGTAGGCCGTGTGCTCAGACTTGGGTACACGTTAAAGAATCCCAGGTGGTCGAAATTTCCGGAGCTCTCCACTACGGCGTCTCTCATAATCAAATGGTGGTTTTGGAACGTTAAACCCCACATATCAATCAACACACACACACACGCACGCACGCACACACACACGTGTGGCGAGAAAAAACGGATGAAGATGCAAAAATGTTTATTTCTTCAAAAGTTTCCGCAGGAGAGCCTGCCTTCGTCAGAGAATACAGGGTATACGCAAAAACGCACTTTTAAATAGAAGAGTACGGTGGGGACCCCCAACATGTGATTAACTATTATCATCATATATATGGCATATTCGTGTTACTATCAATAAACATAGGTGATTGTGCGATATGGTTATGACTGTATGAAAAAATTGCAAGCAAGACACAGTTTTCAACTACAAAGTAGGGGTATGCGCAGAAACATGCAAACGGACAGTGCTGCGACATATACTAACATTGTCACGTCTATATATAATGGCGGGAGATGTACACATCACATCACATCACATCACTTTAATACCTTAAAGACCCCCATGTAGGGGGTATTACATAAGGCGTGGGTTACAGGTAAATGCACACAGGTTTTCAAATGGAAATGTGCGTGGTGACCTTCTCTTTAAATGTTGCTGGACACGTGATGGCTGGAACGTCACAGGGAAGGCCATTCCAGTCCACTGCTACACGGGGGAAAAAGAGGCAGAAAAAGTAGTAGTGCGAGCATGTGGACGGGCAATTTGAAACGCGTGGGCAGTGCGGTGAGATATGCGCGTCGGTGGGACGATGTAGGGTGCTTGATTAAGAGGGCTGTGAAAGAACTTGTGTAGCAAACAAAGACTGGTAATGCGGCGGCGCACTGAAAGATTCGAAAGACCAGTTTCACGTTTAAGGGATGATATGCTTATGTTATATGAATATGAAGAATGTATGAACCTAGTGGCGCGGTTTTGCACAGACTCTAATTCATTTATCAAGTATACCTGGTGCGGGCTCCATATGGGAGCTGCATATTCTAGTTTAGTTCGGATTAAAGATTTATAGGCGAGAAGTTTGATGTCAGGTGGGGCATGACGCAAATGACGCTTCAAAAAACCCAGAGTTCGGTTCGCTGATGATATGACGTTCGTGATATGCGTGTGCCATGAAAGATCACTGGATAAGGTGACGCCTAGGTATTTATAGGATTTAATTTGTTCAAGAGTAGAGTTAGCTATTACGTAAGAAAAATGCAAGGGATTATGCTGGCGTTGAAAAGAAACAAGTTTGCATTTAAAGGGGTTAAGCTCCATCAACCACAGGTCGCACCATTGCTGTACACGATGAAGGTCATTTTGAAGTGCAGTTTGATCAGAGGGGTTAGTAATTTTGCGGTATAGAACACAATCGTCGGCAAACATGCGGATATGAGAAGATACATGCATGGGTAAATCGTTAATATATATTAGAAACAGAAGGGGTCCGAGGACGGAACCTTGGGGGACTACCGATGTTACCGAGAGAGAGCTGGAATGTTTATTTCTAATATCGACAAACTGGGAACGGTTAGCAAGAAATTCTGAAATCCATGCAAGAATTTTGGGGTGCAGATTCAACTGGGCAAGTTTTAGTAACAGGCGTTTGTGTGGTACCTTATCGAAAGCTTTAGCGAAGTCTAGAAAGATTGCATCAGTCTGGAAGTTACGGTCAAGATTAGCGTGCAAATCATGAGTAAATATAGCTAGTTGTGTTTCACAAGATAAAGATTTACGAAATCCATGCTGGGAAGAATGAAAGAAATTGTTAGCATCCAGAAAGTTTATTATGTGAGTGTATATGACGTGTTCCATGATTTTGCATGAGACGCTGGTTAGTGAAATGGGGCGGTAATTTAGGGGTGACTGTTTGTTACCTGATTTGTGGACCGGAATGACCTTTCCCACTTTCCAGTCTTCTGGCAGCATTCCTGTTTTAAGCGACAATGAAAACAGCATCAACAAATACACTGCAATAATTTGTTTAGTGTTTTTTAACAGTTTAGAGTTAATGTTGTCAACGCCAGCCGATGATGAAAGTTTAAGTCTGTCGATCAGCCACCCAGGCACAGCAGAATAGAAGCATGAGCCAGTGATGTAGTCTTATGGGGCCCTGTTCAGGGATAGCCTGCTCTGCAATGCTACAGCACAAGGCGCGAAAGTGTTGTACAGTGGTCCGCACCGCAAAGAGTCAACTAGAAAAATCTTCACAGAATTGCTGGAAAAATTTCATTATATGTAACATTTTCTCGTATATATTGATCTCCTCGTAACATTATAACTGAGTGACTACTGTGGTCAAAGAAAACATCACCTTAGTTGTTTGTTTCCCCATCGTGCAGCCAACATTGACCACTGTCGGAAGTGCCGGGGCTCAGCCCCCTTCCCTCTTCTTGGTGGCGGGACTAGCACCCCCCTTGCCCCCGGCAGATACGCCTATGCCTTCACTCATCGCGAGCGAGCACATCGGGACATCCGGGATCTACCGTGAACACTATAGGGTCACTCTGCATTCGATGATGTCAAATCACCCAATGGCTGTGACATTGAGATTGATTGAATTGTTGTTTGGGTTTATTTATGGCATGATTCGTGAAGAAGACAGGGAGCTATTTCTAGTTGAATTTAAAATAATTGTTAATTCCAGGCCATTTGGCTCACCTGTTCTTAGGCGCCTCGACTACCGACCGGTCGTCGTGTTTTCTGACCATGCTGAAAAATTTTGCTTGACCCTTCAGAGGTTCAGTGTATATAAAAAGCAACAAACTGGAACTGATACAGTATTAGTCTAGCTTGCATATATCAAATTCTCAAAACTATGGGAATGAGTTCGTTATATCATACTATTCAATATAACACTCTGAAAAAGCAATCACATTCAGGTGCCCAAGATTGCTTAACAACATTGCTGAGAAAGTGGCTTTATGGCAATATGTGAAATATTTTTTTTACTTTTCATGCCTACTGCGGTTTTTATTGAAGGTGCAGATTTTATGCAGGGCGTGTTATACCCGAGAAAATACGGTATCGATGTAACCAGCACCTCACCATTCTCACTACGTAATGTGCGGGAAGTCTCTAGTCCGCCTTGGCCCAAATGCCAGCACTGCTTTTCAGTCGTACTGAGCATGCTCTTTGGAATAATGTGCTGTGGTGACATCAGGCTTATTTTTTCCAGGTTCGACTCGGTTGATCATTGCCAGCTTTCCAGAAAACAGCAGCTCTGACAAATAAGTCAAATGACCGCAGTAAGGCGAATGTGAATAACATGCTGACAGGTGCGACGACGAAGAATCATAGAAAAAAGCATGCGATGGCAAGTGGTAGTAGCTACAAGATCCAAATGGCACACTTCTATGATCACACCTCTAACCTTTCTAGATGCATGCGAAAATGTCCCCTTTTCGTGAGGGATCCCAACTTCTTTGGGCATTTTGCACTGCCTGATGTTAGATGCTGTTAGAGAATTGCGAACCTCAGAAAAAACGAATAACCCAAAAATTTCATTCGAGCCGCCACCCGCCGTGCAGAGCAACAGAGGATACGAAAACCCCAATCAACCTTAATTGGCAGCCCCCCAAAACGCGTACCGGTTCCATACGTTCAGGGAACCAGCGAGATGTTGGCGCGGATCTTCAAGAAGGAAGGGGTTAGCATCGCACATGTGCTTTCATGTACACTGGGCCACCTCCTCCCCCGCCCGAAAGACCTGCCAACAATGGACAGGGCCCCCCCGGTGTTGTTTACGAAATTCCGTGCGCCGAGTGCCCCTCTTCGTATATCGGAAAGACGAAAAACCTATCCGAACGACTCAAGCAGCGCGCCAACGATGTGCGGAAGTTCTACAAAGAGCGCAGCGCAGTCGTCGAACATGCTGAGACGTTGGATCACCAGATAAATTTCGAAGCGACGGCCATCCTTGAAAGCGAGCCGAACCGGAAGAGAAGGTTGTTACTAGGGTCGTGGCACATACAGAGGACAGCCCATAACATCAACCGCTCTCTCGGAACCCTTCCCCAGTGTATACACACGGACTACGCTCCACGGCAAAACGAGAGAGAGAGAGAGAGGTCATTATCCACCCTGCGAGTGCTTTGAAGATGCCGCTGCTACATAGCCTGCGCAGTCACCCCTGAGGAAGGAAGCAAGTCGGTTTTGAACGTCGGGTTTATTTAAAACTGTTGGTTGGAGTCTAAATCATCTCCACAATGTCCAAAGTGTTGCGCCTGTTTTTCTATGTTGTAACCATATATTTGCCAATACATTGGCAATGAAGCAGTCTCGTGTTCGAAGATAGTTTGTTATAAAAGATAATTCGATTTAACAAAGTTTGATATGGTCAACTATGACAGCACTTATCCATTACCTTTTATTGCTTAGTTTAGAAGCTAATTATATAGACTTAGGCCATATTTATTTGCATATTAGGCACACTCGCATAATTAACGCACCCCCAGTTAGGCCGAGAGAAATCAGATTTTTTTTTTATTCCTGCGCACAATAAGCGAACCCCAAACTTGGAAGTTATCAGTAGTTCTGTACCTTATTTGCACGGTTGCAATTCGACAACCTCTAACATTAACAAGGAACGAGGAAAAATGGCGCCGACGTGGCTCCGGTTATTAACAGGCCTTGTACGCTCCGCATAGAACGTGCGATCGCGTCACCATCAAGTGCGTTTAGAGTTTCCTGTCAGAAAAAGTGCCGTCAATACCGCAATTGCTACTTTGTCTGCAAGTTTAAAAGCTTCTCAGCTCTTTGACACGAGCTTTCACCTTTGCTGCCACTACGTGGACTTGCACAAGCTCGGTGGACTTTCGCTGCCATTGATTTCTCAGCCGCGAATGTAAACATCGTATGACACGTGCTGCTCTTAGACCAGTGCTTGAGTTCTATCTTTTCAACGTCCAGTCCTCATGTTGCCTTGTTCAAACGTCTCGCGACAATATGTCAAACCGTAGGCTAGGCCTAATCAGCGTCGGTTGCTTTTCGGTGGCCGTTGCAGGCAATCAAAGTTGCAGTTTTGTACGGAATCAACACAGCTCTTTGCGATGGGTGGCCCTAGTAACACTCTAATGGGTGGTTCGTGATTTGATTGTGATGTCTGGTTATGGACAGTGCTAGCTCAAGAAATCAAATGATCGCTCTTGCTTAGCACACAAAATTTCAGACTTGATGCATGACCTAGGCGGCCTGAAACGTAATCGATGAATTCCCGTGATGGCGCTCTCTTTTGTAGTTTTCATTTCAGCGTTCATTTTGTAGTCTGGGGGTCTTCGATGTTAATTTTTGTAAATTTGAGTGCCTCTAAGCACACTTATCGCATATCTCAATTCTCAGGCTTGCTTTTGAGCTAGTGTAGCCTATGAAGAAGGTTATTTTGGATGTAGTGCGCATATCCATGACTTCAGCAACTTGCGTTATCAGTGGTTTATGCTGTAGACAGAAATACAATTTCTGAAAATTTTACCCTTGTATAATAAGCGCACCCCAAACTTGGAGCCTAATTCTCTAGAAAAAAGTGCACTTATTATACGAGTAAATATGGTATGTGCTAAATATAGTAAATTTTAAAACTTCCTATTGCTCACCACATACAACTAGCACCCCACTGCCTATTCAAATCCTGCTACGATTTAACATTGCTGCAAACGAAGAAAAGGGACACTTGCACAAGCCTTTTTTCTATTCTTGAAAATATCGCAAACTTAGGTCAGCCTGACAAGTGTTCATCTTTCTTTATAATATGCGAAACACACTACTCAAACTATATTTTATTCACAATCATTGGACCAAATCACTTCTATACTTTCGAATGTGTTCAGAACCTTATGTGTACTATTAACCTACCTCTATTCTTCATTGACGCCAGCTCAAAAGTGGCTCTTCTCTACCAAGCGCATACATTTCTAGCACACGAGGCCCACAGATGGCACACAGATAAAGAAAACTAGCCCTTAAATTTACACTTCTTTCCTTCATGCATAGCAAGGGTCTCATTCTGGCAGACTTAATGACTACTGGTGTATGCGAAGGATTATTGGTCAGTTGCCAGCTCATAATAAGATCTCGTGCAATGCGATATAAAGGGGCAGAAAAGACTGTTCCACACTCGCCGTCATGGCTACTGACTGCGCTGACTGACACTCCTATGTTTAGAGGCACGTATAAGTTGACGGAGGGATGATTGCTACCATAGTTCAGTGGCCTGCGCCGGTTGCATTATTCGAAGGGCACAGGTTTGCTGCTTGCTGGTGGCAAGTTATCTTCTTGTCCAGTTTTCTTTCTTCACATTTACGTAACAATTACTTCTAGTAACAAACCCTATACGTTCCTTGGCATCACTGTATGTTAGTTCTCATTAATAGTGTATCTAACAAACAAAAATGAGCCCGTAAATTTACACTTCTTTCATTTGTTTGCAGATGACATAGCATTACTCAGTCTTAATAAAACATTGTTTCAATGCTAAGTAATAAAATAATTGCAAGAAAGCAAACCATGAGTGAACTGATTAAAGAAACAGGCATGGCAAACGTGACATGCACAAAGCAGGATGAGGAACCAAAAATAGGCAGCGCAACGTTTGAACTGTTGCGACAGTCTACTGTTGCACTTCGAGATAACACTTATGACAGCCAAATCAATTTGCAGTCTCTCTGCAGCACCTGTCTTAAGTGTCTTCCTTTTGTGTGAGATGTCTAAGCCCTTTGAGAAGGCTTACCTGCTCTTTGCATGCTTGCTCAATTGCTTTGACGATTCCTCAAAGCCGCGGCACGTGTCTGTGTACTCCTTCGAACTGAACGTCTTTTCACTCGAAAACCACCAGGCACGGCCACCTGAACCACAATGCAGGAATGTGATCAGTGCTGTTTGCACGCAAAGGTTGGCTGAATAATAAGCACAGGTTAAAGGCAGCATGTTGTTACCCGCTCAAACTAATTGCTTCGGACATTGTACTTTTCTTTTTGTCACTCTCATAT